ATGTTATTGGAATGAAACCGTTACGAAGTTATTTGAGATTCGATTAAGAAAAAAACTATGAAACGTATAAACAAATAACTTGTCTTTATTATTAAATTAAAGACAAGTTTTTCTTTATATGAAATGAATAAACAGTCATAAAAATTAATTACTAAATACAAAATAGAACAAAACTTCCGTCTCTCATTAAGATAATATCATGAATCCTTGAGAATAATTAAAACTAATTTTGAGAGTTTTGCAAATAGAAACGCACCAGAACTATAAAGCGACAGGATACGGCGCCCTACTTACGAGCCTGGAGACGTACCACATACATACCATATACCACGTACCACGACAGATGACTTACACCAATCAACCGAAACACATATTAAATATCTGATACAAAAATATATGTCAGCATCACGTTACATGATTATAATAAAGAATTTCCTTTGATTTTTTCTTGAGAATGACATTAATATTTTTGTGTAAAACAAAATATACTTTCAACTTGATATCTATTAAATTAAAAAGAAAAATATTTCTCGTAATTTTAATCAAAACTTTCTAGAGACAACGAGGTCTTATGTCATATTTTTGATATTTAATTACTTAAAAGATGTCTTGAATTTTTAAAAATAAAGTAATCTTCAATAACCAAACGTTTGTTTTATAATTATTATGTTATAAATAAATTGTTTAAATAGATCAAATTATATGACAGACGATATTTCCGACATAAGATATGTTGTATTATAATATTAAATTACTTTGTAGATATACAATACTGTATTATTAACATATATTAATATGTTACTATAATTCTTTTGTCATTAAAATAAATACATTGTTGCAATCATTATACTTTCAGATGCAAGGATTTGAAATTTGATAAATTTAAAATTAAATATAGTACATTATATCATATTATAATATGGTTACAAAAAAATATTTTACATAAAAATAACGATAATAATGACAGCTTTATAACATTTATATGAATCATTAATAAGTATTATTTATTTGAGACTTAAATATATATATAAAACAAGATTATAATCTATTATTAATCATTTTTGAAAAACTTTATGCTATAGCTGACATTTTTTAAAATATTCTTCACTAAAATAAGTTTCATAAACAATTTCAATATGCAAAATTGTTTTTTAATTAACTTCATTGTATTTATAATTTGATATTTTCTATGTTTATTAATAAGTAACTTATCTTCACTTATCACTTGTAATCATTACTAGAATACACAATATTTTTGTATTAGTCGTATATTTACAATCGCGATTGAGAGAGATTTCCTCAAACATTACTCACGGTATTATGAGTAACTCTTAGATAAAAATATCATTTATAAAAAGCCACATTCCGTTAAATTATCCTAAATATGAAACGGTTTCGATATTTGTCATTAACATTTCAGTAATGTCTATTTGGCCTGCGCATTCTTGTGGCCAGTGTCATTTTGGCCATCTGCCAATAGCTTCCACAGCTGGCATTTACCTTTTGCCAGGTAACCACTCCTCATATTATATACGATATGTTTTATTGCTTGTTCTTCTTAATGTATCTTATGAAATATATACATACAATACTTAAATCTCTTAATAATTGTCGATATAAACGTTTGAGTGTAAAATAGTTAAAAGTAACTTTAAAACTTATGTTACCTTGTTGATTAACAAAAAAACAATTCCTTTTTAAAGCCTAAAATAGTATATCTAAAGTACTAAATGGATTATTCATTTTTGCAAGTTTAAAACCGTATAGGTACTTAAAGTAAATGTTTTCTCGAGTACAAGTAATAAGATGTAATTATAAAGGAATGCTCTAAAACGTCCTAGTTGAATTGGTGCAATTCAAATCTCTTGAAAGAGATGGGTGTCATACTGCATACTCTCGTGAAGAGCGTTCCTTCAGTAGTCTTCCATCCATCCTGAATTTAAATAGATCAAAGGATTTGAAACCACGTGGAAGAACAAACAAGAGGTATGTACAATCATAACCACTCACATTACATACTCAGTCTCTTGATCGTCTTTCTGAATCACAGGATTAAAATGAATTTTATTTTAAAACTTCGAATAAACAACATATAAAAGCTTTATCATTCAAATAGTCGTATAAAAATAGTTATATTTTGTAGGACAATATTGTCACATATAAATGGTGTTCTGATATTGAAATACTCGGGAATGCGGGTTCGTAAGACGGAGCCGGCCTATAAGTGCTGAAGATTAAAAATAGAAAGGAATCCACCGAGGTATGCCGGCCACTCGGTGGACAGTTAAATTTCTGTTACAAATGATCTTGAGAGAAAATTAGATTTAGAGAACGTCTGGAAAGATACGTATATGTGTTCGACATCATGACAACTGTAATATATTTAAGAAATTCGAAAATAATACAAAAATATAAAAAAGGACAACTAAGTAACTAATCAACGAAAACAATAGCTTTATATTAGGTATAATGTTTTAGCCAAAACTATTCTGTCTTATGTTTTAAGTTCGTTTTAATTACAACTATTAAAGAATACTTTGGTCATAAAAAAAATATTGTTGTAAATTCCATCATGTCTGCCAACATAATAATATACAAACATAAGTATGACTTCCTCATTTTTGATGTTTCCGTCACATTGAAGGTTAAGGTATTTTTGTGGTGGTACCTACTGCTGGAAAATAAAGATTTAATATGAATTAAAATAAAAGAATTTTCCATTGTATTGATAGGTTCGTACAAGACAGGTTATTACTTAAATAAATATTAGTATTTATTAGATTTAAACAAAATTCAGAACATGAATTTCTAATGGATAAACTTCAAGATCGACTTCTTATAGTTTATGATAAGAAGGGAAGATTTTTAAACAGAAATCTAAAGGAGACAAGACCAATAGCAGTCTATGTTTATATATAAAGATACTGAGAATTCGTTTAATAAGAAGTAAGATGAAAACGATAAATAATATGGGTCGCGTAAAGTGGTCTGAAAATATCTAAAATTAACATAAATGGAGGTCAAGAATTTTTCGTTTCATATCTAAATGAAGTGCCACCGGTCGGGGTCAATAAAGCTGTTGATTCACACAAGGTCGAATTTATACTCTCTTTATTTTTATACGCCAGCAAGTTTTAGTGTTTATTTTGTTTGTGAATATTTTTAGAGAATCTTGTAGTACGCAATAAGGTGAGAGTTGCAGATCTAATTTAAGTAGAATACAAATATTTCAAAAGTCTTAGGTATATTTAGAATGTTCTATGGAAGATATAGCAATCATATGACCACACTAGATTTGAACATGTTTCTATATAGAAATGCCACGACAAGGCAAGGTCGAAGGTTTGGGACTAATCCAAACATCATATCTACCTTCGTCAAGGCGATAATTACATATGCCAAAAATAATTTCACAAATCAAAATATGAAAGAAAACAATTGTATTGATGATAAAAGTATAATATTAAATGTAAAATAAATACCTAGAGTAGACGAGTAAACATGTGTTACTGTTGCTAGCTAGAATTTAAATACCTCTCCTAAATATTTACTACACAGTTTCCAATACAAAACTAGAATATTTAATTATATTCCAATGAATCCTTATTAAATTTACTTAGTATACAGACTTTTAAAATATTAATATATAAAAAAATGTTTTTAAATATTTTTTAAGCAGACTTTATTTCGGACATAATTATTACGCCACATTCTGTCATTTCAACGAACTGTTTTATAATTAGCAGGACGTGTCAGTAATTAGCAAAACATTGAACTTGAACAAAAGCCATTGCCAAAATTCCACCTACGGGCTACGACCACTAAGTTTTTGGCAATAAAATAATAAGCTAAAGCCAAGACAAACTCCGAAAAATATGGCCCTTAGATATGAACATAAAAATACTCACGGGTATTTCGAGTGAAAAATATAAAAAGACATTATGTGTAGTAGAAAATCCATCGACATGACAAAGATTTTAAAGCTTACGAATTTTTTATTCAAATATTTTATTAAAACAACAATTACAGGTATGCCCATCCCATAAGCACTCCTATAACCCTGCGAAAAATTCCACGGTATCAATATTAAGTCCGGATTCTTTCGACGTCATAAATAGACATTAAAATTTTACGTCTATGTATAGAAGAGAGTTATTAAACAAAACGTCGATACTCTGTAATCAATTCTGGCAACAAACCAAAGCAAATATTTATTAACCGTATGAAGTGAGACATGAGATAATAAAACGCGTTTGGAAATTACTAATTCTGGCTCAATATTTACAAACTTTATATATTAAAATAGATTGCATATTTGTAATATTTCTTCAATACATTTTTTGGAATGCTTATACTTTTAATCCTACATCATGAGCACTTATTTCGTGTTCAAAATAATTTAAGTTATGATTCCCTGTATTCAAATTAGTAGTTATTTTGTTGTTGTATATGTCAAAGTATATTTTAACTCGATTACATCAACCAGGAAGTGTATGCTCTTTGTCTGTTCTATTGTAGATGCCTGAGAATTCTGGTGTATTTTCAGACCAATGCCACGAGGCTAACAACTTCTCTTCATTGAAATAAATTACTATCGGAACATCCATTCCAGCATTGTTTGTTTATTTTCTGATATCAAGGTATTTTATTGATGTTGTTTAAATGAGTAATACAAGTTAATTCAATTTGAAACTTATTTATTTGGTCCCTTAACTTATATCTAACTGAATATTAGCATTAATTTATCACAATACATTATATTTTATGTTAACTTATTATTAGAATAACAACCGATTGAGATTGTCTACACATTTGTTAGCTTAGTGATGTTATTTCTATTATATAAGTTAAAACATTTTTTTGTTTTTTTCTAACATTCATGCAAGTTTCATAAGAATATTTTTTCAAGAACTAAGTTATGAACAATTTTCATTCATAATTACGATCACAAACAAATTTCATCATCTTGCTTCAGTCTTATCATGACATACATTCTCCTATCACACTTATTATCACTTATATTATATTAGTAATATTTTTCTTATTCTTTTCTTTATGCTTTTGATATTAACACATTCATTGTTTGTTTGTCCAAATATTTTTCTGATGTGATATCTATTTCTCTGTATGTTCAACTGTTCTCGATGGGTCCATATCGTTGTCTGAACCACGTCATGCCCCTATAGTCTGGTTCGTACACGTCGGGGATTTCCTTGTCTATCGCCTCACAATAAATCATTTTGACGGACGCCTCTCCAAATAATCTCTCCTCAAACTTGATGAGTTGTTTGAAAAATCCTGTGTTTGGTCTCACTTGTGGCCTGAAATAAATAGACTTCATTAGAACAATTCATGACTAATGTTTTTGGGGTACTATAATCCGAGATATAATCAATAATCATCTCACCTTCTCAATTTCATATGTCGATAGGCGTCACACAATGTCATCTTGTGCCATTTTATGAGGTAGGCGAGACACAGAGTAACCGATCTCGATATTCCCGCGACACAGTGTACCAATACAACCTCACCGTTGCTAACCACCTGTAACATAATGTACGATTAGTTTGCTGATAGTACAAACGTATTTATTCTCTATAATTTAAGTTCTTACATCATTTATAAGGTCAGCGACCCTTTCCATGTATGGATGCATATCTGAATTGGGTGTATCCAGAAGTGGTACGTAGTGTCTCGGTACATAGTCTTCGGGAGGTGGTGGTAGCTCAGGAGCAGCGTTTACTACCAGCCCTGGTCGAAGAGCTCTTACTGCCCCAGGCAGGGAGTGCGCCCCGCAGATATACACAGAATCTATAACCCTTGATACTCCGAGAGGACATCCCCTGTAAAAACATATTATTAATAGGATCATTCGTATAAATTTTCTTAAAATATCGACGTATACATATATATTTTATCTGATTAAAAACTTGAGAGGGTCAATGCCAAATCTAAATGTGAGCTCAAATTTCCATCACACACAATATATATCATGAGATCAAAGTTGATTACTATAATAACAATAAAAATCGGATAATGTGTGTGAATGTGACAGAAAAAGTTTACGAGATGAGTTCGTCTTGAAAATTATTGTGTTGGAATATAGTTCGCAGCCAATATAATAAAATAAGGGATTAAGCTGTGTAGAGCTAAAGACATTTAACAATATTATTACAATAACAACTCATTAATTGTAATACACAAAAACAGATCATTTAGTCCGATATAAATACAAAATGTTAAATTTATTTGAACGCATATTTGGAAGTTTTTTCAAAAAGAAAACCACAACAATCCTGTATGTAAACATGCCAACGCGTTGTGTCATCCTGGCAAAGAGCCAGCGCGTGTGACCTAGCGAACTTGCCTCCTCACACCACTCATACCGAGCCTTCACATATGGAAAATAATTCTAATTACTTTTATATAAATTAAACTAATATTTTTTGGATAATACTACGCGTATTTTATTACTGTTAAACAACATACTTCAGACGTTTCGGTTACTTTTCAGTATCAATGATCACCCTGGGCAGACGAGATGTAAAGTAAGAGAAGTATAATCCGAAAAAATATTAGTATCATTTAAATGAATAATCGCGAAAATCTTAGTTCTCATTAATTTGATATAAATTAAAAAAAATATTAGTGTGGCTACAAGACAAGTTGTTACTGCATTCCATTCATTAATTTTGGCATAGCAAATTAAATATTATAACTGATAAACGATACATAATGTCCGAATTTATAATGAAAATTACCTATTTAATTCTTCCTTCGTTAACTTCGTGTCGACATCAACTCTGGGTTCATTTTCGTTACCAACACACGCGACCTTATCTTCGGCTGTTAAAACCTTCATTTCGCAAAAAAATACCATTCACTGAGACGAATAATATAAAAAATTTGATTCAGTTCAATGAAGATTTTAATAAAAATTTCCTATATTTGAAATTGTTATAAACGTTTGAATATCCCGCGTATTATTTCGCTTGTGTAGTGAGCGCGTGCGCATGTGTCGAAGTCGAGCTCACACTGATGACTGAAGCTGAAAGCTCCGATCACCTGTGGATTGTGATTGCCTACAACATCCGGCATTCCGAGATATTCCTGGACCGACGGGGACTCCTTTTGTTTACGATCAGAAAACCGTCTCTGGATTGGACGACAGTTAGTGTGGATTGCATCAAATACTAATTATGTATGACATATCTTTGAATTACAGAGATATCGAGTAATCGAATTTAATGTTACTATACTGTTATATAAATAAATAGTTGTAAATTGAAATAAAACTAAGTTTTTGTTATTTTTTATCTGCATAATCCCGACGTTTCGGTTCCTTTAAAGCAACCATGATCACGAGCAGAGGAGGTGAGAGAGCATAGTAGGAAAGAGTACAAGTACATATATTTGGATTTATGAAATCTGATTTCTCTGCGACTTTCTTTAAATTAATATAATAAAAAATAATTTAAAAAAAAGTACGCTTTTATAGCTTAACGAACTAAAAGTTAGAAAATAATTTTTAATTACAAAGAATTTATAATACAGAAGCAGAAGATGGAACCGTCAATCATAATTAGGTAATTACCTCGAAATAAAATTATTATAAAATTTAAGTTATTAACAGAATAATTAATGAATTATCAGAGAAAAAATGTAGAGAACATTTTACTCCATTTCCATTACACTCTTCTTATAGATTCTAGCCAAGATATTGATTGCTAGCGCCTAAGAAATATCTTTATTTATCAAGAAACAAAACTCAATTTATTCTGTAAAAAACTACATTGTCTGTTAACAAATAATCCAGGAAATATAAAGGAAATCCAGGAAGGTTCCAGAAAAACTACGAAACATACTTATGTATTTTATATTAAAAATTAGATATTAAAACTTATAACCTACACCTAAGTCTATAGGATTGCCCCGATGTTAGGATAGCAATACTATTCCATAGCTTGTGTGGTATCAGGAATCTTCTGGTTCACACGGCTTGGTGTTCATTCCGCGGAGTCAGCAGCGTCACTCGTATTATATTTTATACATACAACGATGGTGCCCCGGCGATGTTCATTTAATTTTCGGTATGTAGCGCGTACGTAACATGTATACAGGGTGACTGGTGAATTACTATCAATATTTAAGGAGAATACTCGGTACATGGTTCTCATTCGAATTATGTAAAAAAAATAGATACTTAATTTTTGACAAAATTTCCGTATAAATAAATAAAGTGTGGATACGTTCCAAGTGTTCCAAGTGTGGATAGTAATCCACCAGTCACCCTCTATATATTTGTTTGTTTACACAAACGCTTGATCGTTTTTTCTAATAGGTTTCAGTTACTGAGAATATTTAAACTTACAATAGAGCTTTGTTGTTGGAGAAACTCGAAAACATTGTTAATGAGTAGAATCAAGATTGAGATAATTTTTATAATATTATATTTTTTTTTATTATACCTTAATTTGTGAGAAAGACAAATCGAAACTACCTTGAATCATCTTAATTTAATTTGTGAACAATTCAATAATAAAAACATACGTATATATTGGCCGTATACTGATATATACAGATGAGGGCCGAGGTGGCCTAGTGGTTAAAGGTCCGCTTCTCATACATGAGGGCGCGGGTTCGAAACCTGGCAAGTACCAATGTGATTTTTCGAGTCATAATGTACTTTCTAAGGGTATTTAGATACCACTAACAGACGATGAAGTAAAACATCGTGAGGAAACATGGACTTTGAAATCGCCAACCCGTCTTCAGCAAGCGTGGTGATTAATACTCAAATCCATTCTATGTGATAAGATGTAGCTCAGCAGTTGGCTCTGATAGGCTGATGATGATGATGATATATGCTGAAGTCACAATATACTAAGACCGAAAATAGGACACGTGGTTGGATTCACATTTTTAATTAAACCTCTGTCTGAATTAAAAAGCGTAACCTATTTTTAAATTTAAATAAATAAATATTTATATTATTGGGTGTATTCAACCTTGAGTACTGACCCACTTGTTTGTAGGGAGCGGGCCAGACGTATACTTGATGTCAATAATGTTAAATGATTAACGAAATATTAATTACAAACAGGAAAGCCTTACAGGAGTCTTTTAAAACATTTTCTAATATATATGTAAAAAAATTAACATCATTGCAAAATACTTAAATGAAAATTGTAAAAGATAAAAGGAAAGTTACTTGCAATAAATATATATTTATAAATAATTATGATACCACTTCGTAATCTTAAAATTAAACTTCATTATTTATAAATGTCTAATTACAAATACATGTTCTAATATTTATAAGTCTCTTCTAAAAGTCATGCAGCGGTCTTAGATAATATTATGGTACCTACGGTTATCAAATTCTCTAGATAATGTTTTGTAAACAATGGAGAAATAACAATGACATAGAAAATACTTGCCAATACAAAATTAAACCTAATTAAACTTCGCTATTTGTAAATGTCTAATAACTAATACGTAATATTAATAATATATTTATATAAGTCTCTTCTAAAATTAATGCAGCTGTCTTAGATTTTATGGCACCTACTGTTAAAATATCTAGACAAAGCTTTCTAAACAATGGAGAAATAACAATAATAATGACATAGAAAATACTTGCCTACACAAATAATAGAATAAGGAGATTTTCTAATATATGTAAATGTAAGACAAAAACATGATTGTTGTATTTAAATAACAAATTTTGTATTTAGATTCAAAGTGTGAAAAAAGTCAAAGACATTTTCGTCACTCATACCAAGAACTAAAACTTTAAATTAAAAAAGACACTACAATAGGAAATTCATATGAATAAAAAAGTATATTATCAAATAAGAAGAAAGTTAAATTTATTCCCAAAAAGGGTTAATGTCAGGCAGGTGGCTGGTAGTAAAAACAATTAGTCAAAACTATCCACAACATATAAGGCAGAACCTGGCTAAAGCTGGGAAATTGCCAGGAAGAAGAAGAAGAATAAGAAAGTTAAATATTTTCATAGCAACCAAAGTAATTTTTAAATATGTAATTTTTTAGGAAAATAGTAACTGTTTATCTTTCACAGTGTAACAAAGATAACGAGTATCTGATTATATTGTGATTATAATAATATAAATACAAGTCATGTCACTTAAAACAACAAAGAGACATATAATTATGTATATAAAATCAGTGAACTTGTAATGTCTGTTTTTGGGGTGACTATTTAAATAGTTCTCACTGGGCAAAACCTGATTGAGTATTTTATGTTGAACGAAACTCATTATCTAACAAACGGGTTAAATTTTACCATATATGGTATTATTAAAGATTGAGAAAACAACAACAACAACAACCTCGGTTGAAAATTCCGAGCTAACCTTGAAAACGTATAGCCATTTTAATTTTTTTTTAGCAACTTAATAAACTAAACTAAGTGTCTCGATTAACATATAGGTGATGTCTAATAATAGTAAAGTTTGATGCCCCGCCTTGAATACTAATCTCTCAAGCAATACCCGAAATTATTGTCTTCACCAGATAATAAAGATAAGAAAATCATACACTTTTTAATATCATTTTATGAATATTGCTCACTATTACTATAAAAAATATTACACACCTTCTCAAACTTTATTAAGATTATTAATTTATTAGTATTTAATAAATATAAACCATTAACATGGTGATATTTCTAAGCAAAGTCGAGTTTAATTGATATAAATTGTTAAAATCAACAATTTGTTTATGGATCGACACTTATCTGCACTGTCTATATTTTAAACAACTTATCTGCCTCCCTGCATCAATCGAGGACCAACTGAGTAACGGGAAACATGTTTTTAATAATACTAGCTTGTCTTGTTGCTTTGTATTTCTACACCACCAGAAACCACAGATACTGGGCTAAAAAAAATGTAAAACATGAACGTCCTATACCTTTATTCGGAACGCATTTCCGGAATATAGTGGCATTGAAAAGTGCGAATGAACTTGCACATGAATTTTACGTAAAGTTTAGCGATGAAAAGGTTATAGGAGCTTACCGTGGTAATGACAAGGAGCTGATTGTCAAGGACCCAGACATAATAAGAGACATTTTAATGGTCGACTTCAACCATTTTCATAATCGTGGCTTTGGCAGAAATCCGGAAAAGGAGCCACTGATGAAAAATCTCTTCCATGCCGAAGACGACTTATGGAAATTGTTGAGATACAAGTTAACACCAGCGTTCACTTTAGCGAAACTAAAATCTATGTTCCCTCTTATAGTAAAATGTGCGGAAAAGTTGGTTGGCCTGGGAGAGAATATAATCGCAAATGGGGGGGACTGTGACGTACGAGAAGTTATGGCGAAATTCACAACCGAGTTCATAGGCGCCTGCGGCTTCGGTATAGAGATGGATACCATCAATAATGAAAACTCTGTATTTAGACAAATGGGAAAGAAAATTTTTTCACGGTCAGACATGGAAGTGTTTTTGTTTGCTATATGGGACATATTTCCAGAACTAAGAAATATTATCCAACTCACCAACAAAAAAGTTGAACGCGGTCTGTTTGATATGGTGACCAAGATCTTCGAGCAGCGAAATTATAAATCTATTGGCAGAAATGATTTTATCGATCTGTTGTTAGATTATTTCTCTCAAGGCAAAATACAGAGCGAATCTATCAAATACAAGAACCCGGACGGCACAGCGAAACAGGTTGAAATAGAGATGGATATCGAGGTTATGGTCGCACAAGTATTTTTTTTCTTTGCGGCTGGATTTGAATCATCTTCATCTACTACCAGTTACACGTTACACGAACTGGCTTACCATCCCGAAACACAGAAGAAAATTCAGGAGGAAATAGATCGAGTTCTAACAAAATATA